CCCTTAATTTTGTTCAGTGACCATTTTTGAAAGTGAGTGTAAGTTGAGTGACGGTTTGTGCAAGTTTGAAACTTCAGTGACCATTTTGTTATTTTGCTGTAACTTCAGTGACCATTTGTGAAATTAACCCGATTTTGAAATGTTAAAAGTTATTTTTGAGATTGTGACGTTATTTTTGAATATGTCAAATTTTTTGTCTTGATAAAAAGGGCTGGCTAAGGAAGCTAGCCTAGCTCTTCTACAAAAAGTAGAATCACTGCTGACAAACCCTTAGGACGAGTAAGTACAGTGACGTTGAAAAAACGTGTCAATAACAAACCTTTATTACTCACACAGAATAAAAAAACATGATCAAACAACGGCCATCGAAGGACGAGAAATAAAACGACTCTGCTTCATAAGGGTAGGGTGGGGTGGGCGGGGAGGGACTTTATTTTTTAAGACACAAACATACACAAAAAAAAAGGAGGTAACATCTTATAGTTAACTCGAAAGGCACACGTTTAATTTTTATTTAACTCAATCTCGGACTCTCTGATCATTTTGAACAATCTGTGGTGCATAAACAGCGGCGGATGAAGCCCCCGCAGTGGCCACCGGGAAAGCCCTCCGTCTGGCACACGGCGGCGCAATTTGAATTTCTCCCACACAGCCCTTTGAACTTTTCGCTTGGGGACTGGCATATCCTTGCCTCTGCCACCATCATTGGACCCATCCCTGTAATCACATAACTAAATTTAGCAGCATGTAATTATTTAGAACAAAACAAAAAATTTCACTGGACAAACACAAAACCCTCCTTGCATATTGCAACCTAAGCTGTTAAGGAAAACAAATAAAAACCCTGACGTCGAGCCGAGTCGATTCGAGTAGTGTATAACTATAAGAAACTGGTTTACCTGTGGCCATGAAAAGCATCAACACAAGCATAGCAGTTGCAAATAAGCTAAGAAAACGACCCATTTTTTCTTAATATAATACAGAATTTGTGTTTGTGAATGTGTTTTTGCAAGGAAGCGTTGTCTGTATTTATAAGGGTTTAATGCAAAGTATACTCCATCTACTTTCTACTCTTTCGAATACTCGAGATAAAAAAAATATCAAAGATATGAGTCATCACTGCTCAACGGGCACTAAGTCTTGTCTGCCGCTTTTTTCAATAATGTAAGTTAATTGAGTTTTTCTGCATGTACAGGTGTCGCAGAACCCTCGCGACAATTCACAATAAAAAAAATTACCCAACCCTCATGTGAGTTGTCGGTAGGAGTTCTTGTACATGCAGAAGAACTCAAGTTAATTTCGTGTTAAATATATGGAGTACTTGATATTTGGCCGTGGTATATAATTTGAGATTTAGAAGATAATCGATAATATTGTTATAATGCGGCAAATACAATAATTCAAACACGTTTCGACACGTTAAATTTGTTAAATGTGTACTTTTCATTTTCCTTTAATCAATCATTAACACGAGCTTCTTTTTTTGTGTAGAGTGGCGTGAATTCATAAATAAATTTTAATCTTCTTCGTCATCGGTTTGGTGAAATCATATAACAATAAGTAGATGTAACTAGAACGAAGCATGTTATTTATTTACTTTCAATTTTATGTTGAACGATATTAT